CTCCACCCAAACAAAGTCCTTCTTCCTTCTCGCTTTCTTTTGAGGCTCTCTCTCTCTCTCTCTCTCTCTCTCTCTCTCTCTCTCTCTCTCTCTCTCCCTCCCTCCCTCCCTCCCTCCCCCTCTCTCTCTCTCTCTCTCTCTCTCTCTCTTTCATTTTTTTTTTCTGAGACAGGGTTTCTTTGTGGCTTTGGAGGCTGTCCTGAAATTTACTTTGTATATCAGACTGGTCTCAAACTCACAGGCATCCACCTGCCTCTGCCTCCCGAGTGCTGGCATTAAAGGCGTGTGCCACCACTGTCCAGCTCTTTCTTTCTTTTTAATAAGGGTTTTGTTTTGTTTTTTAGATCTATCTATCTATCTATCTATCTATCTATCTATTATGCATACTGTATTCTGCCTGCATGTACACCTTCAGGCCAGAAGAGGGCACCAGATCTCACTACACATGGTTGTGAGCCACCTTGTGGTTGGTGGGAATTGAACTCAGGACCTCTGGAAGAGCAGCCCGTGCTCCTAACCTAAAATGAACTCTCTTCCATCAGGCAGCTACTTATGTTCTCTACAGCTGCTTGGCGATGTCCCTTACCTGCTGTTCCCTGAATCTCTACTAAAACTGTCCTCAGGGCTCCCTTCTCCAGCCATTCCTAAACTCTATTATTAATGAGATTACAGCCCCAAAGAGGTGACATTGGTTTCCCTGGCAATAGGGGGAGCACTTGATTGGGCTTTTAAGTAATTTTGATTTAGCCTACTTAAAAGTCACTCTAAATCCTGAAGTCAAAGAAAAACCACCAAGGACAGCTTTAAATTCTAGAATCGTTGCGTAAGCGTTATGTCTTTAAAGGGAAATCAGAGTTGAAAAAAACGCAAACAAACAAACTAAACATTTATGTAACTTGAGTAACACACTTCACTGAGTAGCAGAAAGTACACACTAACAAATGAAAACTGTTGATCTGGTATCTGCAGCTTGCCAGGGCTCGTGGCTGGCTGCGTCAGCTTGCCGTCTCTGATTTCATGTGGCTAGCACCATGTTTTCTCAGCTCGAGTTTTTCTCTTCTTGTTCCCTGTCAGAGGCAACCAAGTTAGGATCAGGAAGCCCAGTTTAATCATAGCTGTGATAAATGGATTAAAGAATGTCAACAACCCTGAGGTTTCTGTCAGCAAACTCTAGTGGTTTTTTGCATCTGAATTGAAGCATAATAGTCTTATCACTCATTAAAAACAAATTATACCTGTCGGCTTATGTAATGATTTCTAACTGCCTAATTAATCCTATGTTGGTTTAAATTGTAGAATAATTAAAAAGTCATTGTGCATGCTTATAAAATAATCATGATTATGTCTGAAATTTGCCAAGCCCCCTATTGGAGCAAGTGTTTCTACACTACCAGCCATCAAAACGTGTCCATTCTACCGATGCCGGCCCATGAACGTGCCTTTTCATTGAACTATGGCTATGGGAGGAAATGATGGACTACTAAGAAAAGCTTAGTAGAATAGAACTCATGGTAATTTGCGGCAGTGAAACATTTCCAAATTTTCCTAGTATTTCTGATTGTAAGGATTAGTCTTCAATGTCAACTTGATACAGACTTTGAAGAATTATGTAGATCAGTTGGCTTTCGAGCATGTCTTTGGGGGATTGTCTTGATGACATTTACCAAGGTGAGATGGATTTATCATTTTGAGTAGTACACTTCCTGAGTTTGGGTCCTGGACTGTCTGTGCGTGGTGAGGGACTGAGTAAGGGAAGTCCCCATGCATTCATTTCTCTCTTTGCTTGACTGTGGTTATGGCGTGATTAGCCATTTCAACTTCCCGCCATGACTTCTCTGCAATATTGGACTGTAATGTGAAGCTGTAACCCGAGTAATGCCTTTCTTCCCGAGTCTCTTTCTGTCAGCATATTGTATCACAATGCCAGGAAACAAAACCCAGCACACCGGTCTTTAAAGAGTATAGATTTAAAGAAATTTGGAGATATTATGTTCCTTCCAAAATAAAACCCTGGACATTTCTGTCTCGTTTACTTTTCTGTTGCTTTGCAGAGATACCATGACCAAGGCAACTGTTATTTTAAAAAAACATTTAACTGGGAGCTTGCTTACAGTGTCAGGGGATGAGTCCGTGGTCATCATGGCAGGAAGCAGACAGACACGTTGCTGGAGCAATAGCTGAGAGCTTCACATTCTGATCTGTAGGCAACAGGCAGAAAAAGCAAGAGACACTGGGCCTGGCATAGGCTCTTGAAGCCTCAGGGCACACCCTGCACTCTGCAATGCATTTTCTTTCACAGTGCCACACCCACTTCAACAAGACCACACCTCCCGATCCTTCTCAAACAGTTCCACTAACTGGGAACCAGATGTTCAACCATGTGAACCCTTGGGGGCCGTTCTCACTCAAACTATCATAGTTTCCTTTACAAAAATTTTTCTTCACAATTCATGTCAAGAGATATCTCATGGGCTGGAGAGATGGCTCAGAGGTTAGGAGCACTGACTGCTCTTCCAGAGGTCCTGAGTTCAATTCCCAGCAACTGCATGGTAGCTCACTGCCATCTGTAATGAGATCTGGTGCCCTCTTCTGGCCTGCAGGCAAATATGCAGGTGGAACACTGTATGCATAATAAATAAATAAAAAGAGATATCTCATTGCATATAAAAGTTCTTTAGTATTTATGCTCCTCAATGAAGTTTTTATCATGTTTATAATTATAATCCATAATATGACAGGAAAATAGAAAAACTAGTTCTACTATTATTCCCTCCAACATTTAAAAAATGTTTTATTAATTAATATTGATTATTGTGTGTATGTGAGTGTGGAGTTAGAAGACAGTTTTCTCAAACCTGTTCCACAATGCGTTCTGAGAATTGAACTGAGGTCCCCAGGCTTAGAAGACAAGTGCTTTTACTTACTGACCATCTGCCCAGCCCTCCCCAATTATTTTGAAAATAATTTAACTACAATTAATAACATTGGATTACTCATCTGAAGATTTAGCAAACAGCTTTATGGGGAAAAAAAACAAAAAGCTACGTACCAAAATATTAGTCTGTTGAGTTTAAAGTCATTTTCTCTATTGATCGGTTCTTATGTATGTTTGAAAATAATCACATGAAATCCCGTTTAACTATTGTGTAGGTAGATCTTTAGGCATTTATGCTGGGGTTTCTTGAATGATAAATGCTTTCTTCACAGTCATAACCAAAATGGCCACAGGCAAGTCATAGTCAAAACCTCGGCATCCTGTTTCTCTGAGTTGTATCTGGTCATTCATTTGGTAAGCCTTTCCATAAATTCCTTATGCATTTTAATTTTTGTTGCTTTGTATGGCTTTTCTTTTTTTATGTTCGTAGACACTCTAGGTTGAACAAAATAAATAGGAAGAAAGAAAACAGAGTATCTGGTGTGTTGAGAACCTGGCTACAGAGTGAGTTTCTTCAATGGGAAGTCAACATCGAGGAAGCAGGGAGGATGGATGGCAACCAGCTCTCTAGTGAGCAATTTGAAAATGATGCTATGGCCAGTTGAATTCCCAGAGATCTGATTCTTTTTAAGTTCCTTGCACTTCAGTTTAATTCAAATATATTTTTAACTGATCATAAAAACATATATATATGTACTTACATACACATGTTTATATATTACCATGCATCTAGTCTACAAGTATCTTCCTAAAAATATTAAATGCACAGTGTATTGTGCATATGGGAGTAAGAAGATGTAGGATCTCCAGGTTGCTAACACTTCAGTATCCCTGCTTGCTGGACAGGTTGGAGAGTTTATTTTGTTGCTTAAATTTTAATGCATATTGGTGGAAAAGCCATTGAGTTACTCTCCTAGGTCCTTGATCTATAAGGAGCAATAAACATTTCTGTTACTGTAGTGGAGATAAAATATCATAAGTGCTCTCAGAGAGTTGAACCTTGTGACTCTATTTTTAGAGCATCTTGCAGCTTAATGCAAAACGGGTTCCTCTATAATTAGGTAGTTTAGATCTTGTGGTCTTTTCAAGTGTTATCTCAGTAGAGTCAAGAGCAACATGATAACATGCACTGTAATAGCAGGCTACCAGGTATGTTAACTAGACAAGAACTTATCGCACTCTTGTGGTCTTGTACTTGCGAGGCTGAGACAGAACGATTGTGAGTTCCAGCCTAGTCTTGGCAACATGGCAAGACACTGTCAGAAAGACAATAGTAATTAAAAAGCCCCCCAATTGCAGATCTTTTTGAGTTAAAAAACACTCTTGAAAACAGAGTGTGTGGTGGGGACCGAGGCTGGGATAGACTACAGGATGCTTCGAATAAGGTAGAGAGGAGCCTAGATTACAATGCTGATGCCCAATCTCTTAGAGTCTCGTGTTCACTTTTGACTTTGGCTCTACATAAACACATTCAAGCCTCAGTTCAGTGGTGGTTTTTAAAAATGACTGAATGCCCATCATGGCCAATAGTCTCAGAGGCGGCTCTGAAGAGAGGAGCAGTCAGGTGAGGACTTGTGTGCCGGACTTTAGAATTTAGACTAACTTTGCCACCTTGGGGACTTGGGAAGGGTCTTGCTTAGGAATGGGTCTTGATAACTTTGCTGTATAAAGAGCTGTTTCTGGTGTCATGTGAAGACTGAATAGGTTTGTGTGGGCTTGTGTACAGAAGAACATTGTAGACATAGAGTGAGGGATGAAACATGGCATGTGATATATTGTTCATGAGATTTGATTCTGGAATAATTTATGCTTCGGTTTGGGTCTTAGTCCCTCTGTGATACTGAAGAGATGACGTAACCTACCTGACATCTAACTTCCTTAGGAAACTAGAGGATATTCTCCCCTGCAACTCAGGTCTGTAAGAAGGTTTTGGATGATACAATGAATTAAACTGATCACTAGCTGTAGCGAGCCACTGGTGTTTGAGGTTTTATGGCACTACAACACTTCACGATGATCCGGGCGAAGGGCTAAGGATGTAAATGACGACAAAGGCAGCGGCTCATTCTTGCAAGGAGAATGGCATTTATTTTTAACAAGAGCGGAGCCTCATATACCAGTCAGGCGGGGTGGAAAACCACCAAGGTCAGAAGCCTAAGTTCCCAGGGCCCTCTGGCAAAGGATGGGTGCATAACAGGAATTAGTATTTACAGAAAACAGGAACTTGCATGCAGGCCTTACTGGGAGGAGGGGATAAAGAGGTGTTTTGCTAGAAGCTCCTAGTCACAAGCTGGGGCAGCAGACTCCCATAGGGGAAGGGTGCAACAACTAGCAAAAAGCCTGTAGTAGATATTAACGGAAAGGCAAAGTGCCAAAGCCATTCTACTGAAGAGTGACGCGTACCTAAAGTGAGAGAGACGTGACATGATCCCGGTGAGATGGGGATCATAAGTCCAGAATGACTGAGGATGAAAGCGGAAGATGTTCTCTTACAGCTGTGATCTCTGGCTTCACATACGGTGAACAGTGACGACTAACATTGTGCAGTCAAGAACACATGTCCTCTTTGATAGGTGAAATGAGCATCTCCGTGCATGCAGAAAAGGTAAAAACATAAATTAGTACAGAAGGAGTGAGTCATGGAACTAACACGTGTTGGATTTGTAAGCTCCCCGTGTGTTATAAATATCAGCAAAACTAAGCATTAAATACGTGGAGGATCGCCAACAGGTGCAGCGCTAGTACAGTTAATACCAACAACATTACTTTGCCACACTTCCCATACTGGTTACCCAGTATTCTCTGGGGTTCCAGGTTCATATCCAAATCCCAAGCTGCATTTAGTTTTCCTGTGTTCTGGCTTCTTCTAGGCCATGAAAGTTCATGGTGTCTTTCTTAAAAGCTTACTAGATATATAGAGAGTTCAAGTCTTAATAAAACACACAACAGTTATAGCAAAACAAGAAAGCACAAACCAACACAGCTCCCCCCAATACAGAATAAACTGGAATTGTCTTTGCTGTCAAAGTTACAATGGTTGTAAAGAGTTGTTGTAATGGCTGTTCTGTTTGTTCCCTCTTCTTTATTGGGTCCAGGAGAATTCAGGGCCCAAAAGCAACCCCCGCCTTACTTACTGTGGGCTTGACATCTGGTTGTACACATCCAACTTCAGGTGTCTTATAAGAATTCGTTCTGCTGGGGTAGAGCTCATGGTTGCCTCTGAGGATTTCTGGGGTTCTTGCCTGATGGGAACGGAAAGTCAACAGGTTGAAATCAAAGCTGGGAATGATCTGAGGTGGAGACCATCTTTGTTATTCTCTTCCTGTTATTTCATTCAATAGGTTTTTCTGTTCCTGCTCTCTATTGGTCACTTAAGAAATACATAAAACTGTACCATTCACAACAGTTGACCGTGTTTACAGAGCAGTTAGACAGACTTTTAAGATAGGTAGTTATGATGAATCACCAGAAGCAAATAATTTGAAAACATGAAAGGGAAAAAAGACCACTGCAGCAAAGATGCAAAGATGAGAATTTAATATTACTAAAAGGCAACCAAAACTTTTTCACGCAGATGCACAGACTACCCTGTTTTTTTTTCAAATCAAAATTACAAAGGACCCCATCACAAGTGGAAATATCCAACCCCCTTAAAAACTCAAATGAATACCTATCTGCTATCTATAAAACAGTTGTCACTTTGGATGGCTGTGACAAATGTTTGCAGAAGAGTTCATCAGGACGCCTTCCTTCTGGAGGTGGGCAAACCCAAGAGTAAGGTGCTGGCATCCTTGGTGTCCAGTGAGGGCCTGTGGTAGACAACCATCTTCTCGCTGTACCTCTGAGTAGCATGAAATCTGAGAGTGAGAGAATGTTCTCTCCTGTCATCTTTATAAGGACTCTAAGCACATCTTAAAGGACCCCATCTTTGTGACCAGATTGAATCCCAACGAGCCTGCTTCTGGGGTACCATTGCATTGGGAACCCGGCTGTGATGAGTTTCCAGAAGATTAGTCCATCGTAGCCGTGTACTAGAGGCCACGGAAGCTAGTAGTACAGTATCAGAGCTTTAGGAGCTGGCAGTTAGTGCAGATGACCAGAGATGGCAAATAAACGGTGATTCCTACACAATACAGGTGGGGGCAAAGTACCATGGGGGTTTAAAAGAAGGGAGCTCTCAGTTTAAAAACAGCAACAGCAACAGCAAGAGGTGTCTTGTACAAAAGGATGTATTGTATTTGAAGTGGGTCTTTGACTTTGGGAAGGATTGCAGTGCTATTATTTGAGAGAAAGACAACATGGAACAGAGCTTGGGTGGAGGGGTTTTTATTGGGGGAAATTGAATGGGAAATGAGGGATAGGAGAGGGGAGACCAGCCTCAGGGGACAGGAGTGGCAGAAGAGGAGAGGAGAGGAGAGGAAAGAGAAGGGGAGGGGAGGGGAGGGGAGGAGAGGAGAGGAGAGAGGAGGGGAGGGGAGGGGAGGAGAGGAGAGGAGAGAGGAAGAGAAGAGAAAGAGAGACAGGGGGACAGGCAGAGAAGCAGAGAAAGAGAGGGGATGGGAGGTGGGCGGGGCCCTTTAAAAGGGAACACAGTGAATGTGCACAGGTGGTGCTCTCAGTGGCTGCAGCTGAGGGCGCATCCTGTCAGAACCCCAAGGGTAGGCTGGTACAGATGCTGGAATACTGACAGTTACAGGTAAGCACCGTGGCAGCTGTAACTGGAAGTCAGGCATAGATCTCTGCAGTGAAACCCAGGAACGTCTCAAGAGAGAGACTTCACATTGGCTCAGGGCTGAGGGGGATGGGCGTAAACACTAAACCCAGAATGGAGCAGGACTGGGAGGAAGAGAAGAACCGAGGATGGACAGAGCTGGGTAGGAGGAGAAATGGGCATGATAGCCCATCCTTCTCCCTCATCTGTATCATCTGGGTTTCTACCAAGGTGTATATGTGCCAGTGCCAACATTGTAACTGTGAGTGGGTTTCCTGTGGGAACTTAAGAAAGAGGCGTTAGTGAATCGGGAATGGGACTACAGATAAGAGAGGTGCTGAATGGCCTGATCACAACTAGTAATTCTCAATGGTGGGCAGGGCCCCAAATCAAACTACTTCCAATCCATTCCCACCTTTCCTAAATTGCTTGTGGTCCAAGACATGGTTGGATTCTAGTACCTGCTTCAGCATTAGGTCATTTGGAATCCTCCTGATTCTCATGGGAGACTTGAACCTTTGGTTTGACCATTTGTGGCAGATGTGGGTGCTTTTGGATCCAAATGAAATAATTTTGAGCATCGATTTTTTTTTTGCACAGAACTTCTCCAAGCAAAGCTCAAAATAGCATCTTGTTTTCAAAAAACATGTTCCGCTGTCTACGCTGTCCTTGCCATGTTTGTTACTGTTTCATCCCAAGATAGGCTCTCTGTCTAAAGTGTGAGGAATCTTGTGGTTGTGACCTCTGTTTTAGGTTCAGGATCCCAGACCGTGTTGACAAACTCAGTGGTATGAATGGCTCATAGCCAGGCACTTCACATGCAGTAAGACTAAGACAAAGCTCAGGTTCGTCATGGGTGTGTGGGGAGGAGGGTCCTGTAAGGAAGTTAAGTGGTGAGGGAGAGAGACTGGATTAGCTGGAGCCACACTAGCATTGCTGGATCCGTAACCTCTGGTGTTGGCAGGATTTCTAACCTTCATTTTACAAGCAAGATCCTGAGTGATCACCTGGCTTGTGCAATGCCACCTTGCTTGTGAGTGTTAAGTCAAGGACCGAAATTCACTTTTGACTTCAGACCCTACCTTTGTTTCCATTAAATTCCCCTTTTCTCCATACTACGTGTCCTGTCACCTAGTGGCAATTCATTATGTGTGATAGCGCCTGTACCGGTTCTGTGTTAATTGCAAAGTGCCAGACAACAGTTACTGTTGTTATAGCTGATAGAAGTGGGGCGTCCTTTATGGTTCCTAAGGACCAATCAATAAACTACTGATGAGCATAGTTATGTACCTAATCTTGTTCACGTGTAATTTAACTTCTCAAACATATATTTGAAATATCTTTTTATAATTAATGCATTGCTCCCACTGAAGCATTAATCATGCCATTTCTGCATTTTAAATTAAGACAGAGTACCGTTGGTGTTTGAAAACTCACCGTATGGTTTTGCTTGGGAAGTGCGTGTATGCATAGTCTCTAATAAAAACTAAGTAGGACTGCTACAGTTTCTATATTTTACACCCTCCTAAATCCCAGATCCATAAAAGTCCAGTAGAATTTGTCTTGTAAATCAGAGTTAAGCTCACTAAAACTACTCTTCCGAGGACCCAGAACAAATTCTTCAAGAATGAGTCATAACAAATACCTTTGTTGTTTTTTCAAACAACGACTTTAGATTAGGAAGTCCATAAGTATCTGACCTTTTCACAAATCTCTTTAGGACTTTCAGTTTAAAAGAAAGCAGGAAATGGACATAAAAGAAGTCACCTAGCTTGAGAGCAGTTAAAATGAAAGAACAGATGGGGCGTGTCCCCAAAGGTCCCAAGACCATTTCCTTTTCCTTCTAGAACTTCTGTGTTACTGGTCTTAGTTAGATGATGGGGAATGTCTTTCTGTATGCTGTGGACAGCTGTAGATGAAGGAGCAAGTCACAGCCACACCTCACCTCCTTAGCATCTCAGCAGACAAGAGAGCTGGTTCCTGTTTCTCCCCACTTATATCCTCTCTCTGCCCAGCAATCTCACTTCCTGTCTGTGCCCAACCATCTCACTTCCTGTCTATCTGTACAGACCTCCAGACCTCTATGGTTAGGCAGTGGCAAGCTCCATTCTCTGACCTTCAGACAGGCTTTATTTGTACAAGCCAGATATCAGCATAGTTAGGCCCACGTGTTAGTAAGAAGCAACGTAGAAGAGGCAAATATGTTGGCCATCCAGTCAAATAGCGCCTGGTTTATATTTAAGGTGGGGGCCAGTGAGATGGCAGTAGAAGCACTTGCCGTGCAAACCTGACCTTCTAAGTTCAACGTCCGGACCCACAGTAGGAGAGAACCCATTGCTAAAAATAAGTTGCCCCTGAGCCTTCCTCCCAGCCCTTTTGGAACTAGTTCTCACCCATGGTTGTTTGAACCATGCATGTAAAACTCACGTTGTATCTGTAAATAGAACTCAAAACAACTTTTGGTTCTTGCCTGCTAGCATCTTGGAAATGCTGAGTTTGGCAAACCAGTGACTCGTACCTTAGATTCAGGGAAGCAGCTCATTCTCGGGAGTTTTATGAGCTACAGAAACAGTTGGTGCCCGAGAAGGCTGGCAAAGCTGGGTGAGAGCTCCAAGCACCAGCAGCACCTAGAGGGCCCAGGAAGGGAGCGGAACGTCGAAGGCAGCTAAGGAAATGGGGCTAAGATGCCAGCTAAGCCCGGTGCTGTGGCTCCGTGCATTGGCCACCGGCAGCGCACATCACCCTAATTCATCTTGATCAGTGTGCAAGCTTTTCCCAAGCTAAGGTCAAAGGTGAAGGCTTATGGGAAATAGCTTGTCTGAGATCACAGTCTGGAATAGATGGAATAAGGACTGAAGTCTGTCTTCTGTGCAAGAGCTATATTCTGACACACTGAGCAGCTTATCTTCCCAGGAACCATATATATGTATATATATATATATATATATATATATAGAGAGAGAGAGAGAGAGAGAGAGAGAGAGAGAGAGAGACACTTGGAGACCGCCATGAATAGCATAACCAAATATCCTCAAGAGAAACAAGGTTGCATGAAAAACCCAAATAATTAAACGTCCTGGAGTAAGTGCTTGATGACGCATCCAAAGACAGAAGACACAGAACTCAGCAACTCCAAGGAATTATACGGGCAGAACTTCTTAGACATAAAATTATTGTAAAGAACTTTACAAATTCATAAAATGATGGTTTTCTGCCAAGGACTTTTTTTAAGGAAAATTACACATGCATATATTTGCATAATATAATCATAAATTTATTGTTTTTAGGAAATTTCCAGTGTGATTGACATGCATTGGTTTTTTTTTATTTTTAATTCTCATTGTCTTCGATAAAATGATCATGTGTTGCTGCACACCATTAGATTCATCTTAAATGTTTCAAAACTGTTGTGCAGATAGCAAACACCAAAACAACTATATTTCTCATTATTTGACTCGAGGCCAAGGTGAAGAGGGAAATATGTATGTATGAACTATGTGTATTATTTTTCTGGGTTTTGTGCTGATGTGTTATTTCATTGTTATGTGATCAAGATTCCCATGAAAGGATAAAGCAAATATTATATTAACACCCAAGGAAAGGGAGGAACTCTGTAGAAATTATATAATTTGGGCCTGAAACTGAAGTGTTCACATTCAAATGAACAGCTACTGTCTTTCTGTAGAGGGCTGAGCTGACTTTTTTTTAACAGCAGTGAGTGAATTTCTTGGGATGGGTGCTTAATGATAAGCTGATGCTACCTTAGCCGGGATTCCCTTAAGAGAGCAAACAGTAATTCAGGGATTTAAGCAAGAAATAACTTCAGACAGGGGATGATATGCCCCCCAGAGCTATAGAAGAGGCTGGTAATGGAGGGCAGAGACAACTGTTGTGGATGTCAAAAGACCGATAAATGCCAGCTGCCACCGCACTGACGAGGAAGATTGGCACAGGCTTCAGGGAACCCTCCAAAGATTTTCTCTCTGCACCTGTTCAGACATGGCCCTCAATAGAGGAAGGTAGTGGTTCCCTGTGGACTCCTTTCAAACGCCTTTGGAGTCTCTTCCCTTGGTGGAATCTAAAGGCAAACTTTGCTTACAGAATAGAAAAATGCGGAGTTCCAACTTCTAAACCAGCTAGGTCATTTTGCATATATTCAGTGATGCGCTTACGCCCATTGTCATGCTATGCAGAGGACACTGGATCACTCCTGGGCTGTATGTGTCACGGTTCATTTTTCTCAATGGCACCGGCTTGAGCGATGTTGAAAGAACTGGCATTCTAAGTGTTTGCTTGCCCATTCTTATCCTGCCTCTTACTTGCAGAAAGGAAAATCTTCTCTGAGTGGCTTACAGGGTGATATTCTTAACAAAACATAGATCGGAGGGGAAACAGATCGGGGAAACACACAAATGAAAAGCAAGTTCCCTAGCAACCAGCCATGTGGGCAGCCTTCAGTGGTCCACTGCCTGTGTGAGCATTTCCCCCATCACCCTGTTAAAAGGCAAAACAGACAAGAATATTTCAAGATTTTTCCATTAGCATAGCTTCAGAAGATAAAAGATTAATCCTCATTATTGAAATGTTCCTTAAGAGGTAGCTGAATAATTTCTATTGGAAATCAATTAAACATGTGGACATACTACCAGTGGAAGATGTCAGTAAGAAAGAAAAGCACTGCTCACCTAGGGATATCACGTGACTTTTGATTGCCATGCACCCACATAAATCTATTTTGTTTTCCTCTAGAGGTCAAAATAATGAAAACAATTGTTAAGTCTTAAATTCATCACGGGAGATTGTCTGAAGGGTTTTAGGTAACAAATTTTCTGTTTCACACAAGATCTAAACAGCTATTAACTCAACATGTTTCTATACAAAAATTATTCATGAAATATTAGCCTTTAAAAAAACAAATCTAAAATTCAGTAGATCTGTTATTTTTATTGGATATTTCCAAGGAGGTCGTGATTTCTTTTTAAAATTATTTTGTTACATTTATTAATTTGTATGTGTGTGTGTGTGTGTGCGCGCGTGCGCGTACCACACACACTCACCCCTTTGCATGCACACGTGTCCACGCACATGCCTTGAAGCATGCGTGGAAGTCACAGGGTTGCTTGCAGGAGTCACTTCTCTCCTATCGTGTGGCTCCCAGGGACGAAACACATGTCATACTTCGCAGCAAGAGTCGCTTCCGGTTGAGCCATCTCACAAGCCTGGAAGTTCCTTCTCTGTATGGTTCAATGACATAACACCTATAGCAGTGGTTCCCAACCTGGAGGGCCGTGACCCCCTCCGAGGTCAAACAGCCCTTTCATAGGAGTTGCCCAAGACCACTGGAAAACACGAGGGTCTACATCACGATTCAAACAGTAAACAGAAACAGAAAGATTACAGTCAGGAAGCAGCAATGGGAATAATTTTACGGTTGGGGCCAACACAGCTTGAGGAATTATAATAAAGGGATGTGGCGTTGGGAAGGTTGCCAGCCACTGCCGAGAGCAATATTTTGACTGTCCTCTTTGTCCCTTGATGGCCAGTCTGACCTTCTTCCTGTGGGCTCTTGTAAAGAATGCTGCTATCAAAACAGATATGCAAATAACTGTGTCTCTCCTTCAGTTCTTTTGGAGAATCCTTCAGGTTTTGAAGCGCTACCACACTCTCTCACGGACATGCACCAGAACTCCACGTTCTTTTCATACCCTTGCCAACACTTCCTTCCATATGTTGCCGCTCCACCAGTATTAGGGCTCCTATGTGCATTAAATAGTATGAATCAGGTTTTGCTTTTTAAAAATATAATATCCCTGTTAATTCCTGGAGAATTTTATGTATGCACACACTGTGTTTTACCTTGAGGAGGTCCTTGGCTAATACGTATGTATGTATGTATGTATCCATGTATGTATATATGTTATGTTTGTTGTTGCAACAAACAAATTAAGGGAAGAAGGTTTTATATGAGATTCCACTTTGAGAAGGGTGGACAGTCACAGTGGGGAAGGTATGATGTTACAGGAATTTTGTTTACGTTGTCGTCTGTTGCCCAATTGGGTAGAGCATTTGGTTCTAGAGGCACGGTTCACATTAAGCTAGCAGGAGAGGATCACAGAGTCCTTGGTAGACTCCAGACTAGAGAAAGAGTGCCCTTCCCCAGAAGAGGAGGCAGGACTGGTAGGGCGTGTGACCCTTTTAGAGCCTGGAGGAGAATGGTGTTGGGTGTGTCCTGGTGGTGAGGTGACTGTCTCAGGTTCTTATATACCTACCCCATGGTTGTTTGTTTTGGTTTTATTCACTTCTCGAGAGACAGGGTTTCTCTGTAGCTTTGGAGCCTGGTAGACCAGGCTGGCCTTGAACTCACTGAGATCTCCCTGCCTCTGCCTCCCGAGTGCTGAGATTAAATTATAGAACACGGGAAAAGAAATCACCACAGCACGGCAGCAGGAGTGTAAATCATCTGATCTCACAGTGTCTGTAGTGAGGCAGAAAACTGACCTAACAGACTGCAAAGGCCCACCCCCCTCCGCTCAGTTTCCTCCAGCGAGGTTCCCAGAAAGTTTCGTAAGCATTCAGAACAGACCAACTGGGTGCCCATGTTTCAAACACGTGAGTCTGTGGGGATGTGTGACATCCATTACACAGCCGCTACGATCTAGTTAAACCTCACTCGTTCCGTAACCAAACTCCAGTCCAGAGAATTAAGACAGTTCCTGACTCTACTCCAGTGTTCCTTGCAGAAAATCAGAATGTTCTGGAAAGCATGCAAGATAGGCAAACCAGAAACTTTCCTCTTTACTTCATCCACGCCCTTCCCTTGCTTTATGGCTAAATATTTGCAACCCCTCGATACACAGAAATAGATAAACAACAAGAGAAATGTAAATCTATAAGTGAAAGACCTATAGAACATTGCATTATATAAAAGGTTCAATGGAAATGAGTGGTTATTCTTTTCACAAATAGTGCAGGAAAGTAGACTAACAT